TTTTCACATAGATTCTGTCAACATTATAATGAACTCATGATGAACGGTGGAGCACGTTGTGTCTGTAGCAATAGGTTACCTTTCAGTAGGCCGATTGATCATGCCTGTTTTCTCCAGGGATATAGCCGAATGACTACGCACGTTTTCCCACAGCACCTGGCTGACTGGGTAAGCCGGATTTCTGTAGAGATGGGGCCCACTGGCCAATTTATTTCTCCGTAGGGTTATGGTCACTGGGTAAGCTATATTTTTCTGTAGGGATACGTCTGATTTGGTAAGCCATTATTGGGTAAGAACGTTTTCTGTACCGAAATGGCCGGGTGGGTAAGCCAGTTTTCTGTAGGGATACGGCCGATTATTGGGTAAGAAAGTTTTCCATAACGAAATGACCGGTTATTAGGTAAGCCAGTTTTCTGTAGGAATACAGTCGACTGGGTCAGGTAGTTTTCTCTAGGGATACGGCAGACTGGGTCAGGCAGTTTTCTCTAAGGATACGGCCGATTGGGTCAGGCGGTTTTCTGTACGGATACGGCCGATTGGGTCGGGCAGTTTTCTCTAGGGATACGGCCGATTGGGTCAGGCAGTTTTCTCTAGGGATACGGCCGATTGGGTCAGGTAGTTTTCTGTAGGGATACGGCCGATTGGGTCAGGCAGTTTTCTGTAGGGATACGGCCGATTGGGTCAGGCAGTTTTCTGTAGGGATACGGCCGATTGGGTCAGGTAGTTTTCTGTAGGGATACGGCCGATTGGGTCAGGCAGTTTTCTGTAGGGATACAGTGGATTGGGTCAGGTAGTTTTCTGTAGGGATACAGTCGACTGGGTCAGCCAGTTTTCTGTAGGGATACAGTGGATTGGGTCAGGTAGTTTTCTGTAGGGATACAGTCGACTGGGTCAGCCAGTTTTCTGTAGGGATACAGTGGATTGGGTCAGGTAGTTTTCTGTAGGGATACAGTCGACTGGGTCAGCCAGTTTTCTGTAGGGATACAGTGGATTGGGTCAGGTAGTTTTCTGTAGGGATACAGTCGATTGGGTCAGCCAGTTTTCTGTAGGGATACAGTGGATTGGGTCAGGTAGTTTTCTGTAGGGATACAGTCGATTGGGTCAGGCGGTTTTCTGTAGGGATACAGTCGACTGGGTCAGCCAGTTTTCTGTAGGGATACAGTCGATTGGGTCAGGCGGTTTTCTGGGTTTACCCTCAGCTAGCTCAAAAATGGTTCACTGGGTCTCAAAATCAGTCGTGTGTAACGATGCGGTAAATTGACATTTTTATAGCCAATTAAGCTATCGTGTGTATCAGACTTTGGGTCTCCAGTAAGGCAGAACTCTGACCCTCGCATAAGGATGTAAAGTAATTAACACTTAAAAGTGAGATATATGCACAAACGATCATAGTTTGAAATCGCTATTATTGTTTTGTATTAAAATTTGTATGAGCGTTAACTTAGACCAACCCTTCTTGTATTCGGTGTTTCATTTAATATGCATACCCCCTTGTAATACAAACCAATAATAGCGATTTGAATCTATGATCGTTTGTTAAACAGCTTTTATCCTAAGCTGAATAAAATTCTGAGATTTAAATGTTCAATTGGCAAAGTAAAATAATGAGGATTCGCAATCTTAAGTTCACTTTATTTGATTTACTTTTTTGTTTAAAGTGAAATTCATCGGTACGTTTTCACTGCAAACATACAGATTGTTAATGTTGGTATGACTGGTGGTTGTGTGGTCTTGCAAACTTGACAGGGGTGTAGCTAGCAGCTAGTTTTCTGTAGGGGTATGATCGTTGGAAAAGATCAGTCCTATGGGCATAAGCTTGTCAGGGCGCCCAGCAGGAACCACTGTCACTGATGCTAAGAATAAACTATTGACTGCGATTATATTGTAGGACATTGATGCATGGAACCTGCCTGAATGAAACACGGGCTTCTGGTGAAACATCTGTCTAAGTGTTCATCTGACATACGTCTAGCCATATACCTCCCCATTCATACATCTCTGATCTTTTCCATTAAGTGAAATTTACATCGTTTTATACCTATATTTGTATATAATTATTGTTTTACAGTGCAAGATGAAAAATGCAGCAGAGAGGTGAGGTGAGGTGAAATTGGGTTTTACGTCGTGCTTGAGAATATTTCGCTCATATGACGACGTGCATGCGTGTGTATGTGTATGTGTGGCTGCTTGTACTAGCCCAGACTTAAGCTGGTTGTATAGTGCTAGCCCACTGAGATACCATACCGCAGTGAAGCATGAATACCCCACTCAGACACATTATACGGACTCCGAGCCGACCAGTCCTTGTTGTACCCATTGAGGGTGTGATGTCATGTATATGTATTTTATAATCTAATCTATAATCTAAATCTACCCATGCTATCTATTTATACATCTCCTAATACATCTTCTTAATCTGCCTGACCATTGAAGATCCGGGTTAGAATGAACCTTCAGTAACCCATGCTGGTCGTAAGAGGCAACTAACGGGATCGGGTGGTCAGGCTCGCTCTCTTGGTTGACACTTGTCATCGGTTCCCAATTGCGCAGATCGATGCTCATGCTGTTGATCACTGGATTGTCTGGTCCAGACTCGATTTTTTACGGACCGCCGCCATATAGCTGGAATATTGCTGAGTGCGGCGAAAAAGTAAACTCACTCACTCACTCACTCTTAATCTGCCTACATCTTTTATCTCTCTCTGTCTGCCTGTCTCTCTCTCTCTCTCTCTCCTGATGGAGGGAGAAATATTGCTTAACGCCGTCTGATAGATGTCACACATATCTGTGAAATGACGTTCTTTGTAATCTAACGCTTGTCACACCTTTTAGCAAACGTTGTCAGTGTGATTGACGTCATTAAGTTTGTGGTGGAAGGCTGCGATTTGCAGTGACACGTGATGACTACAGTCCACTTCTCACCTGTCAGTCTGAGAATCCGCGATACAGATGCCATGTTATGGAATTATGATGCTGTCAGTGTGTTCTGCCATTATGGTCCAATACACAGATTCCGGACTTTAAAAGCAACGCGTTTCCGGGAAAATAACATAATTATTAATATTAAATCAATTTTAAACAACCACAGCGTTTACGAAGGTGATACCAGTATATATGTCTGGTATGTCGTACTTATCGACCGTCATGACAACGCGGTTAATAATTAAAACATCATTACTTATTAGACAGTGTCCCAGTTTCATCAACGCATCATCTTCAGTGGTAAGACTTACATCTACGCGGGCTAAAAATATATAATTTTGACAGAAGGCAACTACATTTCATTTTAAAAAGTCCAGGTGTTGTTGCAGACTGTGAAAATCTAGACTTGCATTATTCAGAGCTATAACATTACAATCAGGGCGTGCCGTAGGGAAAATATACCACATAATTAAAAAAAATATTGATGCGCGGAGTGATTCAGTAATAGGTCATGTGCGGAATAATACACCAGTAGTTGCTCATGCGCGAACTGACAATTGACAGAATGGTTGTTCTTCCGTGTAGTTCTCTGTACTGATAATGTGCGAAGATTCTGTGTTTGTTTTGGATTGTAGAGACTTTAGTTAATGTCAACAGTATCCGTCTAATAGTTGAATTGGTTGGCTAGGTACACATGTATTCCATTGGCAATCGATTACGCCGTCGCCAAACAGTTGTTCCATTAAAAGATATTATACTATCTAAAATGTCAGACTGTATATTTATATAATGTTCTACAATATATGACTGCAGTGCAAAAGGATGTAAACGCAAAACACATTGTTTGATCATCCTCCTCGAAATTGGTGAGTACAATCGTATATAACGATTCAGACAACTTCATGGACTCGTTTATCGTACGTATGTGCATTTATTTATCAGAGCGACGCTTCGATGCAGATGTAGATTCCGACATAGTTTTCACCTTTAATGAGCTTGATAAAGGTGTTAGAATCTACATGGAAACGTCTATCTATGCAATAAACAAGAATTTGTTACAAACAGTTTGACACTGTGCTACTTTGCATAAGTATTGGATTTCATCAAACAATTTCAGACGTAATCAAAATGTTATTATGCAGAAAACAGTCGCCAAAATACCGCATATTTATCCCGGTAGTTCACGCCAGACGTTTTTATACAAGAGAGAGTTTTCTCGAAATATTCATTGAACGTGTTCTTGAGATTGCCCCATACGGGCATACACACACCTACAAACATTGAACATCTATCTATCTATCTATCTATCTATCTATCTATCTATCTAAATGTCGATCTGTCTGTCATACATCTAGCCACATATCTCACCATTCATATATCTCTGATCTTTTCCATATACATCGTTTTATACTTGTATTTGTATATTATTATTGTTTTACAGTACAAATGCAGCAGAAAGGTATTATGTAATAAATATGTATTATGTACTCTCTCTCTCTCTCTCTCTCTCTCTCTCTCTCTCTCTCTCTCTCTCTCTCTCTCTCTCTCTCTCTCTCTCTCTCTCTCTCTCTCTCTCTCTCTCTCTCTCTCTCTTTGTAAACATACTTCCACAGCACTTCACATGTGAGCCTCACAAAATACATTCCAAAAACACAGTTCGGTTCAACGACACGACTACCAAACAGCATGTTCTTTCTTTCAAATGGCAACTTACTAAAATCTATTAAATTGTTTTTTAAATTCACTTCTCGGAAATGCAATCCACATTCAAGATCAATGGTGTCATTTTACATCTGTAACGTGATACACAAAACATACAATTACTAATTAAATAACGTTCGACTATATATTCTGTTGCCAGTGGCATGTAGACACGTGACACAGGCACAATATGGACAGTATTGGACACAAGAGTCAACTTGTCACATTTTTTGTCGGAAGGACGTCCTACATGAAATGATTCATGGACGGGACTCTGGATTTATCCACCGTTAATTCCTACTGTAGTCGGCAACAATAATTGAGATTGTGGGTTTTGTCATCGCGTGACGGTACGCAAATTGTAAATAATGTCTCACCTGAAAGGTTTGTGTGGTAACCGTTGACATCTTGGCAGTGTCTCACAATACGAGAAAACACCTTTCTTGTTTCGCGTCCATACTGCTTCTGCGGAAATAGTGACGTATACACGCCCCACAGCGATTACATCCCTTTGATATAAAAGTAATGTTTTCGCATGTCTTTATTGACTTAATAATTGTGATTCTTTAAATGTTATTCTTGCCTGGCTTCAAATGTAAACGGGGCTCTTAGCGTTACGAATATTGTATCTTTATGCTAAAGGATGGAGGACTACAGTCATCGCTGTCCTGCAAAACTTTGTACAGGTGTGCCAAGGTGAGACACTGAGTTATCTCCCTTTATCATGTGAAAACCCGGACAGCAGCCCTGTACTTATTCAGGTTTCGTAAAGGTATTTCGCCGTATGCGTTCAATTACTTAGCAGTACGTCGGCGCCTTGGGATCCGTTGTCATGGTGACAACTGATGCGTGAAACAGATCGATTTAAATAAATCATCAACACAAAAGACAAACAATAGTATTCACTTGTGTACAGCCTAGTTTTAAACAGATTCGGGTCACATTTCTTGTTTGATTTTCTGAATAACCTTCATGTACGTGAGTCAGTGAGCGAATTTAGGCGGACGTTACTGAGTGAGTGAATAGGGTTTTATGCCACTTTTAGTCGGCGGGGGGACACCAAAAATGGGCTTCACACATTGTGCTCATCTGGGGAATCGAACTCGGGTCTTCGGCGTGACGAACGGATGCCTTATAACCAATAGGCTAAGTCACCACCCCTGCTTAAAGGTAGAGGAAGGCCAAAAGCTATGTTGACCTTGGTAAGTTAAATGCTTTAGCAAATCCTGAAATATGTGTCTTCCTTTAGATCTTCCTTTAGGATCAAACTCAAGTTCGATTCCCACATGGTTAAATCCCGCTTACTCAGGACGCGTATATTGTAGTGAGTGAGGTTAGTTTTTCGCTACTTTTAGCAATATTTCAGCAATATCACGGCAGGGAACACCAGAAATGGTCTTCACAACCTCTACCCATGTGCGGAATCGAACCCGGATCTTCGGCGTGACGGGCGAACGCTTTAACCACTATAAGCTACCCCACCGCCCCGCGCATATATTGTAACGGGAAGTAAGTGAGTGAGTTTAGTTTTATGCCGCTTTTAGCGATATTCCGGCATTAACACGACGGGAGACACCAGGAATGGGCTGTAAAGATTGTACCCATGTGGGTCTTCGAACCCAGATCGAACCCGGGTCTTCAGCGTGACGAGCAGACGCATTAACCATTACGCTACCTTGCCACCCCCTACACGGGAAGTAAACCCAAACACTTTGATATAGAAAACCTAACTAATAACAATGGAAATAGTATTCCGTGTGATTTCTTGCAGAGTAGAATACCGACTATTAGATGAGTATTCAAAGACAATAAGTGAGTAAGAGTTGGATTTAAGGCCGCTCTAAACAACAGCCAAAAGAGATGCCCAAGACGCCACGAGCTCACAGTTTGGTGAAAGTAACAAGCTCGAATTTCGAACCTACAGTCATGTTTCTGGCGTGCCTGGGAAATTTTCATATGTAGGTGAGCCTCACGGATAATGACCCGTGAAGATCCGGGTTCCAATTGGTCTTCACCAACCCATGCTTGTCGTAAGAGACGACTAACGGGATCGTGGTCAGGCTCGCTGACTTGATTGACACATGCCATCGTATCCCAGTTGCTTAGATCGATGCTCATGCTGTTGATCACTGGATTGTCCGTTCCAAACTCGATTAATATTAACATATCGCCCTCAGATAGTTTGAATATTGCTGATGATGGCGTTAAACAAATCAAAGAAAAGCAAAGCCTCACACATAATATCATCGTCGGAGATATATAGATTCAGCGCTGTGAAGCGTGTGATATTGGTATTATGTTACATACAGCCGATACGGGTCGATTCCAAACTTGCAGATATGTGTTGATTTGCATCGGTTTATGGTGTGAAAGCGGAAGACCGATGTCATTTGGCTGATCTGGTAGATTTGTAGCACAGTCGACATGGATCGATTCCACACTGATAGATATTGGTTTGATAGATATTTGTTACAGATCCATACTCAGATATATACTCCGAAATACCGAGCATGTTAACCAATTATAGTTCCTTCTTTAAGTTTCCGACCAGCAAAACCATTCCTGTTCCGACTTTCATTACTCTGGGATATGTCGGTGGGGTAGCCTAGTGGTTAAAGCGTTCGCTGGTCCCGGTTCGGTTCCCCACATGGATACAATGTGTGAAACCCATTTCTGGTGTCCCCCGCCATGATATTGCTACAATATTGCTAAAAGTGGCGTAAAACCCAACTCACTCCAAACCACTCTATTTTGTGAAAAATAAATAAGACCAAAAAGGTAAACAGAAGGGAGAATTGTATATCGTATTAAACGTATACACAAATGAAACAGGGGCGGTGGGGTGGCCTAGTGGTTAAAGCGTTCGCTCGTCACGCCTCCCAACATGGGTACAATGTGTGAAGCCCACTTCTGGTGTCCCCCGCCGTGATATTGCTGGAATATTGCCACAGGCGGCTTAAAACTAAACTCACTCACTCACTCACTCACAAATTAAACAAACAAGGAACGGTTATTCGATGGTAATGTAATTTGATACGTGTATTCCAGTTATGAGTGAGTGAGTTTGGTCTTACGCCGTGGTATAGCTGGAATATTGCTAAAAGCGGCGTAAAATTAAACTCACTCACTAAATAATTGTACAAATTCTGTATGGAACCCAGTAGAGGCTGTCTCAGCACAGGTCTAATCGAAATCGATATTTTTCTATTCTGTGTGATCGATCCAAGCAGCGACATTAAGTCACTGTAGATTTATCTCCCTTTGACCAAACCTCACAGCTCACGGGCCGAGTTTAATTCGTGAAGGACAAGCTGCTACTCTGAGTGAGTGAGTGAGTATGGTTTTACGCCCCTTTTAGCAATATTCCAGCAATATCACATAGGGGGACACCAAAAATGGGCTTCACACATTGTAACCATGTGGAAAAACGAACCCGGGTCTTCCGCGTGACGAGCGAACGCTTTAACCACTAGGCTACCCCACCGCCCCCAAGCTACTCTGTGAATGTAGTTCAACGTCACATCAGCACGTGCATTATTTAAGCTGTTCGTGGTGACGTGGCAAGACAATGGTTTTCCATACCAATCACACTTAAAAAAGTACGAGACGTATTTTTCAAGTTAAAGTTTCACAAATAACAGTCGCTTGTTTTTGCATCTGAAATAGTGAACTGGTTTCGTAAACATTTCTTATATTTATGTATACTTATCACAATAAATAATCATGGTGTGTCAAGAACTTGATCATCATACAATTTACAAGAAAGCCTTTGGTGACTGCAAGAAAAACAAGGAAACAAGGGTTTTTTAAAACAATTTCTGTATTTGTTCGTCAAAAACTTGCAAGTGTTAAATATGGGTTCGAATCCCTGTTTTCACTGATTGGTTTGTCTGTACCATTCCCAGTCTGGTGTGCTTTCGCTACAGTGAAAAGACCCGCATCGCTCTAAAATTTGAAAATACTGTATATATTCACCGTACTCCGCGGATCTACCAACTCCATACATAAATGGATTAAATATATTGTACAGTATATATATTATGTACAAAAAGGAAAGTATACACTTAAAATTTAATTCAGCAAAAGTATTACAAACATTATCAAAACGCCACTAGGCTGAAACCACTGCCGAAACACAACTAACTTACCAAACATGCAGAGTGCGAAATAGCCACTGGCCCGCTAGCCCGTGGCTACTAAACATCCAGCCGGGCCAGTAAATCTCCACAGTCACTGACCCTACTGGCTAGTGAATTTGTTCTAATACACTTTTAAATCATGCAAGATTATGGCCCGATAGATAACGGTATTTTACCTTTTTGATTTTTTTTGCTTAGTTCCTACATGAATTATCGTGTAGGCTGGTAACTCTCAGGCATAACTAGCCCGACTGGCAAGCAAAATTGGAAACTATTTCGCACACTGTAAACATGTACAATACATGAATCAAGCATGTATCAAACATTACTATGACACTCGAATCGAAACACATCACCATCGCTAAGTACTTCTTGTTTGTTTCATTTTCAGCCATCGTTAAACACGTGTGAAAACGTTATCAATTTTATCAATTTCAGCAGAAGTACAATGCATAGTCTATGTCATGCCATGCCTACGTGTAATTCGAACAGGGAGCTCCGGAGTGGTTAAACGTGAATGGTTTACCTATCCCAGTTGATTTCACATTTTTTAGGATCCGGTGATCCGGTACGGGTTTGAATCCCAGGTGAAGGTTCGTTTTTACCAATGGGACACGTGCTTATGACACGAGTCACATTAAATGTTGGTTATACAAGGCTGTCGTGCCGTGATATAACTGAAATACAGTCCACAGTAGTGACGTCAAACTTTCACACATTCTCCACTTCAGACTCTGTTCGCTTGACGGGAGTCACGGTTACCCTGGTTACGCGTGGTGTACTCATTACGGTCGTATGCGGGCTGTGATATTTACTTCCGGTCATGTGACTTTTGGATTTACAAAAATCACCCTCCAAGGTATTCACGAGGGTTTTCCTAAACTGTTGGCTGAACGCACAGTACATGAATACATTGAAGGCGGAGTTACTGACATACAGGAACCGAAGTACGACAGTCACTTTAGCTACGACTTGAAACTGGGTGAGAAAATTCTCCATGGTCATAAATGAAAATATGTTCATGAAAAGGAATACTGGAATTTGCAAGAAAATTATCCCGGTGACCAAAACTGTGATATTAATTTGACCCTTATAACTCGTGCGTTGAGATACGTTGCGGGAACGTTTACCTTTTCTTCGTAATACTGTTATTTTATGAAGTAGGAATATATTTAAAGCCAACGCGACAAGTCCCACAATGAACGTGAAAAACACAAAGGTTCTCTCATAGTCCTTACGAAACGACTGCAGTACATTTCCATCAAAATCATCCTCGAACGTCTTCATCGTGGTCGACATTATAACTTCTTTAATTAGCTGCGGCA